ATAATAATAATAATAATAATAATAATAATAGAACAATACATAGCTATTCTGTTAGCAACTGCATAAAATTTAATAATATTAGTACATTTTATATTTAAAACTTGAAATGGTGAGGAAGCAAGTTTTGACCAGTTTTTTTTTTCTTTTTTCGTCTTTCAATTTGTACACGTAGTCCTACTGCAGCACCTAATGTCTCTAGGCCGTGGACCCCTCACACTACCCAAAATTTCAGTGTCAACTAAACATTCGTGATGGAAGCTCGGCACATCGCATTGTACTCAGCCATAGCCGGATATGTTTCTTTGCCCAGGGCAAACCCGGAGGTTCAAAGTAGCGTAGTTGTATTGTGTGCAATGTTGAAGGAGTCTTTAAATAATAATAAGAAAAGTGTGGGTCAGGAATTATTTGAAGAAGCGACCGACCCGTGGTCATCGTAACCTACTTCGCCAACTGACCTTGGAACCTACAGTTGGTATTTTATCAACATTTTTATCAAAATTTTATGAGGATGAATGAAGAGGTGTTTGAGTAACTGTTGAGTATGGTTTGCTCTCTGATTGAGAAACGTGATACTAGAATGAGGACAGCGATTTCGCCAACTGAAAGATTGAGTTTCACACCGCGCTTCCTAAATTCTGGAAACAGACGGACACTTTGAGAACCTGCACTTTTCATCGTACATAGCTCCGACCACTATCAGTCAAATCGTTATGGAGACATGTGAGGCACTTTGCACATGCTTAAAGGATTATATAAAGGTAAGAAAACTGCAACTATTGCAGTTTTAAAGAACATTTTATTACATAAGTAAGTACTCTATGAAATCGTATTATACGGTCCTACTATATAAAATCGTATTATATAAGGGCAAATTTTTAATACGTGTATACTAGGTACGTAATAGTAGAATTAATAAGTTGTACTGGTAGTTTAAAAACTTACCTTACTTATATAAAATTAACATGAAAAAGAAAAATGACTTGCGAATAAAACAAAATGTGAAAAAAACTTGTTCGATTGTGCGAGTTCATTGGAAACGGGAAAAGTACGAACGCGTATCTTTGTGTCGTCCTCGTTGGGGTGGTTCTACTAACTGTTCGTTATCGTTAAGAACAACAAAATTTACTATTCTTGTGGGATGAGGGTCGTACAAGGTTTCATTGAAGGCTTCATTAAAGGGTGATGGTTCGGACATGCTGATCTCAGTCGATCTGGAGTGGAAACTGACGGGAGTGCTTAATGTTTCACGCCTTGGTTGTTTGATGACCACTGAATGGCGGTGAAGAGTACCCATTTGTCCTTCAAACAGAATTTCGTGAATGAATTTTTTGGCGTACACACGCTGATCAGACCTCGAGCTCTTTTGCCCAAGTTGTAGCAATATGATCGTGAGCAGAGGCAGGTTGTCGAAGTCGTGAGCATGTTAGTTCGAGAAGCTCATTAACTGTCTGTTGGTTATTAAAATCA